GAAAGTGCACCAGAAGGTGCAGGGCGAGCTCTGGCTCCATGTTGCCACCTGCGATGGCGTCTCCAAAGGGAAGCACCGACACAGACGGGCACAGAGACCAACGCTTTGCTGTCCCTCGGCGAGGTTGGCAAGCAAGCAGGAAAAGCTGAGAACCGGCTGTCCAGGTGGGTCACTTTAAGCACGAGCCTCAGATAGCCTCAGACAGCAGCCACACAAAGCAACTACTGACCTGATGCCCTGCCAGAACCGGTTTCAGCTGCCCTTAAATGCCCCCCAGCGTCCAATCAGTGTGGACGCGCTAGTTCGAATTAGCAAAATGCTAACTCGAACTAGTTTTTAGTTCTAGATGCGTTAGTTCGAATTAGCTTAGTTCAAATTAACTAATTTGAACTAATTTAGTTCGAATTAGCTCTGTAGTGTAGACGTACCCTTAGGGAGCCTGTGCTGGCACTCCAGCCTCCGCTGTTCACTGTCCAACTGACTTTTCTGTGGGTCAGCAGCCCCCAACCCAAAAAAGTTCCCCACCCTGGGCTACTACTTAACTAGGAAGAATCAGAAATCCTGCTTTTTAGCTCAGCAGCAGGAGTTCAGAAGCTGCTCAAAATATTTGGCCGCAGTTCGATAACTCATGTGCCTATTTGTTCCCAACCTTGCTCCCACTTTGTTTCAGTGCTGTTTTTGACCTGAATGGTGGTCTTAGCCTTTCTTCTTCCTTACCCTACTATGGTTCTGACCCTGAGCTCCAACAGTTCACTTCAGACAGTGATCTGGCCCCTGCTCTAAGCCTGCATGCCTTTCCCTGGCCACTGACTCCCATACCAATCACTAGGCACAACTGCCCACATTACAATCTCTGGAAAGTGCTAGCACAAAGAGATTACTGGAAGGGGAAATATACCTGAGCTCGAGATGCAATCTGTGTTTATTGCTGCCCTCCTCTAAAGGTGCATCTACACAGCACCCTAAACTTGAAATAAGATATGCAATTTGAGCTATGCAAATTGCGTATCTTATTTCGACTGAATTTTGAAATAGCATATTCCAAAATTTAGCATGTCTACACATTGTCAAAGTTTGAAATAACGTGGTATTTCAAGTCATCCCTTAACCTTCATGGAATGAGGGCTACAGGGATGCTGAAATAGCGCATATGTTATTTCGAGACCTATCTCGAAATAGGGGGCGCATTCAAAAGATGTGAGGTAGCTATCCTGGGATATTTCTGGTATCCCGAAATAGCCCTGCTGTGTAGCCATACCCTAAAATGTGTGAGAGAAGGAAAGACAGACAAGAAGATAGAAGTTAAAAGAAATGTGCACAATGAGTATACACATTGTTATTGGTACTGTACTATCACAGATAAGATCACCAAACACTTTCTATAAGCAGTAAGAGAAAAGGTTATATATAACTGCATCTTAAGCTATATTTTTTGTCAATGAGCTATTTTTACAGGCATGAAACAGAAGTCCTGAGCAATTGTGAATACTGAAAATTCCTTGTCATTTTCCATCAGAATAGATGCATTAATGCCAGTGCCCTATGTAAATTCCATTAGGCAATTATTTCCTGCCTATGTAAATTCCTACTGTTTCAGCTGGACACTTAACTTCCCGTCCTAAACTATATTTGAAGGTAGCTGTGCATTGTTGAACAGTTGCCATGTTGCACCCAGAAATGACTGCATTTCAGTGGTGAGTGAAATGATTCCTCTGGTTATGTATCAGCACAATGGTGACTCAACAGATGTCTACTGTGCAAATCCCATAAGGATATGTGTGTGTGTAATGCACAACAGTTCATGTGGCTATTTCATGTATTGTGCTGCAGTAACCTCCACATGGCAGTTATGCAAATATTTCAGAGCCTGGAGGGAAACAGCTCTTCTTCACATCTTACGTATCAGCCTGGCACTTGGCCCAGCTAATGAGGCTGGGAATCAGGAAGATTTGCCTCAAAAAAGAAAAAGGATTAACAAAATGCTTAATTCAGATCTGTAATAAACACAAGTACAATGTTAGAGGTAACATCTTGACAAGAAACAAAACATCAATCGGATACTCCAAAAGGGGCTACCCAACTTCTAGTTTTATCCTCTTCCTAGTATTAATTTCAAAACAGGCCATTTGAGACTTACAAATCATAGTAAAACATCTGACATACTTACACACTTTTCACTGTCAAATACATAGCACAGGTGTTTATTTGACTCAGAGTCTTTGCATATGAAGGTAAATATCCTCTTGTCAGTTTTATCATCGGCACAAAATGAGATCCTATGAAGCTGGCAATTGTGCTGGACTTCCTGCAAATGACAAGATAACGATCACATTTCATTAGTTAATTGTTTAGTATTTTATTCAGAAAATTAATACTCTACACACCTGGCTGTTATAACGGAACAAGATATAAGTAACATGATATTTACATTATTGTGACAAAAAGCATTTCTTAGGAAATGATATTACATCATTCAATATGCATGTAGTTACCTGGAAAGGCCTCAGCCATTCAATGAACTTTGTTCAGATGGACCTATGCACCTGTAGCAAATGGGATGATAAATCATGTGCCTAGGAGAGTTGTGGTTTTGAGTGACAGACCAGAACATATTACAATAACTCAAGGATTTAATGTATTTGGGAGAAGAATTTAAACACAAAACACAGGACATCTGGGATACTTTCTATGAAAATTAGTTAGTTGAGAAGGAGAACACAAGAGTTTTTTTGTTGGAATTTTTATGTGCTGTGCCTGGGAGCTGTAAGTTGTGTTTTGGTTTTTTTCAGTTTAATGTTTTGTTATTAATATTTTGACATCCTATATTCACCACCAATACTTCACACAGAAAAGTACTAACTTGTTTTGGAATCCATATCTTCTTGACACCTAAAAGCCAAGATAAATTTAATTTGGAATAGTAGCTAGAGGAATTTCACTGTGTGCTTGTAATGTGGGAGAGCCATGGCAGAGCCATTCTTATTCACCATCCTATTGTTAATATCATAGAAAATGTTTACAGACACTCTAGATTTTCTTATAGAATGCTTTTTGTAATTCTAAACGTTTCTGTTTGCAACAAGTGTAGTGTTTTATAAATTCCTCCATATGGTTTCTATGAAAAAGGCAAAATCCAGATCCTTCCTCTGTACACAAGTACACTCACATTCTGTCAATGCAAGACATATATTTTCAAGCACACAAACTATACTGTGACACAGGCAAGGCTTCACGTTTGTCTTCTTGCCCACAGAAACTTAGCAGACTCCATCAGTTTCCCTCCACCAAAGTAGGGATGTAGGGGTATGTCTACACTATAGCACTAATTCGAACTAACTTAGTTCGAATTAGTTAATTCGAACTAAGCTAATTCGAACTAACGCATCTAGAACTAAAAACTAGTTCGAATTAGCATTTTGCTAATTCGAACTAGCGCGTCCACACTGATTGGACGCAGGGGCGCATTTAAGGGCGGCTGAAACCGGTTCTGGCAGGGCATCAGGTCAGTAGTTGCTTTGTGTGGCTGCTGTCTGAGGCTATCTAAGGCTCGTGCTTAAAGGGACCCCCCCCGGACAG